TTAAGGTTCTCTCAAAGGTTTGCAGTCATCATTGTCTTTTGTTTGCAGATTCAAACATCTCCATTACTTGACAACAACACTAATGTTTAACAACTTTACTGAAACTCTGTGTTAAATAAGGTTTTCCTGAAATGTAAGACACTTTCACTCACTTATCTTTAACGTGTAAGCACTAAGGCATATATAATTATGGGGCCCTTATTTACATTTAAAAAAGCACAATCAGAACCTTCAACAACAAGGTTATAAATTATAAACCTATAGGTACATGGATCAAAATGAAAACAAAATGTATTTTGACCTTGTGACCAGATGATTAACAGTAAAAAAAAGAAAAAGAAAAAAAAAAGGGTTTAGGCTTATTTTCTTGCAAATGCCATTTGATGGTTTGATTAATACAATGACATTCAGATATTTCTAAGTGTGAATTAAGTGTCCAAAAACCTTTAATATGAGATTATCCGTTTTGTTGTGTATTTGTACTTTAAGGACTTATTGCACTGTTAATGTCATGTATATAGAAAACACAAGTCATTCTTTTAAAAAATAGTTTATTTTCAAATTATATATTATCTTATGTTACAGACCCAATATGTACCTATACAATTTAAGTCTTTTAGTAAATAATTTAATGTTACATTCGTTTCCTCAAAGTATCAAATAGCTCATTCAGTACAGCACATGTAATGTAAGGCAAATGGTGACCATTATTCTGTTCCACTGAATAGTGTCTTATTCTCCTAATTGTCTTATTGTCCTAATATTCTCTGCAAATAATGTCATGTTCTCAAAGAAGCGTTAAGAACATGCAATGAAACTGTTAATTGCACAACCAAAAGTGATAAGGTTTATATCTATTGCTTTGTAGATTTATGTTCCACCCAAGGAACCAAGTTTGAAACAAATTAGACATTCTTACATTAAAGGCATTGGCAAACAAGACGAAAATATACTGAACAAAATTATAAACGCAACACTTTTGTGAACAATATTTGAGAGAAATAGGCCTTTTGTGTACATAGAAAAAGTCTTAGATCTTTGAGTTCAGCTCATGAAAAATGGGGGCAAAAACAAAAGTGTTGCGTTTATAATTTTGTTCAGTGTAGGTTGAGAATATACATAGAAATACTGTTGTTATTTTTAACCAGTTGAGTGCAACTTCATTTCAACTTCTAACTACTCAAACGTTAGTTGTATTCCTTCCTGTCATGATTAATAATTATAGTTGTCAAGTCAAAGTCAAAGGAAAAATTAAAAGAAAAACAAAAACAAATGAAAAGACCAGTTGTGTTAAAGTCATTCCACGTAATCTCTGTATGAGAATTAAACATTTACAGTACATCATATGATTAATACTATAGTAAAACAAATTTGCTTAGCCAAGTGATTCTGATGCAGCGGATTACATTAATCTTTAATAAAAGGGTCAATAAGTGTCTTTAAAAAAAAAAAGAAAAAAAAAGATGATTTAAAAAAAGTAATGATATAAAAGTTCACTGTAAAAACACATTTTATGCATAAGTATGGATTGTGCATTAATTATCAAAACTTTATTGTTCAGAGTGAGTTATTCCACTTTACCACATTACCAATGATGTAAATGTTTGTTTGAAGAAGTTTCCACTTTAAACACTCTTTTTTACAGAACTGCTTCCTCAATTAAGACAATACAATATGATAAAGATACAAAAGAATTAATGACAAAATAAAATTTTATGAATGCAATACACTTAAATATAAATATTATGATAAAAAATCTGGAATTTTTTACAACTTAAGATAATAAAAATATATAAAAATGAAAAAATAAAATATTTTAAATAACTATATATTTATAAGAAAAAAAAATTAATACAAATCAAGAGCATGTTATCACACTTAACATTAAAACATTACGGATAAATGACAACATAAAAAAAGATTAACCCTTTTGTTGGTTTACTTTTAACAAATAAAACAACCAACAGTGAACTTAAAGGAAATTATTAATTATTAGTTATATTTCTTGTTTAAAATGCTTCCCAACTGCATTCCTCAAGTCCAGGGGTGCCCAAACTCAGTCCTGGAGGGCCAGTGTCCTGCAGAGTTTAGATCCAACTTGCCTCAACACACCTGCCACGAAGTTTCTAGTATGTCTAGTAAGAGCTTGATTAGTTGGTTCAGGTGTGTCTGATTGGGCTTGGAGCAAAACTCTGCAGGACACCGGCCCTCCAGGACCGAGTTTGCGCACCCCTGCTCAAGTCCAACTCTGTTGCTGCCAGGAAGTTGGTCATCACAGCATCTGCCAGATAAGAAAAAAAAAAAAAAAAAGC